AGCAGCGCAATGTCGATATCGGCGTCGTCGATCTGGACGATGCGTGGGCCTGGGGTTTCTCCGGCGTCATGGTGCGCGGATCGGGCGCCAAATGGGACTTGCGACGCTCGCAGCCCTACGAATGCTACGAGGAAATGGAATTCCAGATCCCGATCGGCAAGAACGGAGACTGTTTCGACCGTTATCTCATCCGCATGGAGGAGATGCGGCAGTCTGCCTCGATCATGCGCCAGTGCGTGGACAAGCTGCAGAGCGCGGACGGGCAGGGCCCCATCTCCAACACCGACGGCAAGATCGTGCCGCCCAAGCGCGGCGAGATGAAGCGCTCGATGGAAGCGCTGATCCACCACTTCAAGCTCTACACCGAGGGATACAAGGTGCCCGAGGGCGAGGTCTATGCGGCGGTCGAGGCGCCCAAGGGCGAGTTCGGCGTCTATCTGGTCTCCGACGGGTCCAACAAGCCCTACCGCTGCAAGCTGCGCGCGCCGGGCTTTGCCCATCTGCAGGCCATGGACTTCATTTGCCGGGGCCACATGCTGGCCGACGTCTCGGCGGTCCTGGGTTCGCTCGACATCGTGTTCGGAGAGGTTGACCGCTAATGTCCGTTCGCCGTCTTGCCGAAGACACCGTCCAGCCGGAAGGCTTCAGGTTCGACCGTGCGCGGTCGGCCGAAGCCAAGGTCTGGATCAAGAAATATCCCAAGGGCCGCCAGCAGTCGGCGGTGATCCCTTTGCTGATGCTCGCCCAGGATCAGGAAGGCTGGGTGACCAGGGCATCCATCGAGCACATCGCCGAAATGCTCGACATGCCGCTGATCCGCGTGATGGAGGTTGCCACCTTCTACACCCAGTTCATGCTGCAGCCGGTCGGCACCAGGGCCCATATCCAGGTGTGCGGCACGACGCCGTGCATGCTGCGCGGCGCCGAGGATCTGATGAAGATCTGCCAGCGCAAGATCAACGAGCGGCAGTTCCACCGCAACGCGGACGGCACGCTCTCCTGGGAAGAGGTCGAGTGCCAGGGCGCCTGCGTGAACGCGCCTATGGTGATGATCGGGCGCGATGCCTATGAAGACCTGACGCCGGAACGGCTCGAAGAGATCATCGACGCGTTCGAGGCCGGCAAGGGCGACACGATCACGCCCGGCCCGCAGATCGACCGCGTCTTTGCGGCGCCGGTTACCGGCCTGACCAGCCTTCTCGACGACGTAAAACCGGCCTCGGGCAAGCGCGCGAAGGCATCGGCGAAAGCAGGCGGCAAGGCGTCCAAATCTGCGGGCACGTCCGGCGCCGCAACCAGGACCGGCGCTCGCAAGGTGAGCTCCACCGCCGAAATCGCGAAGACGGCGAGCGCGGTGCGCCCCAAAAGCAAACCGCCCGCGAAGACAGTCGAGGGCGGCAATTCGACAATGAAGCTGGCCGCCACCGCCTCGGGGCGCGCCAAGCCGCCGGCAAAATCGGCCAAAGCCGCAACGACCAAGGGCGCCACAACGGATGCCGGTAAAACCGGGGTGGACGACAAGAACCGGCCGCCCGTGATCGACAAGCCTGCGCAGCCCGACGATCTGAAGCTGATTTCCGGCGTCGGCCCCAAGCTGGAGGGCACGCTTCATTCGCTTGGCATCTACACGTTCGCGCAGGTTGCAAAGTGGAAGAAGGCCGAACGCGAATGGGTCGACGGCTATCTGAAGTTCAAGGGACGGATCGACCGCGACGACTGGGTCAAACAGGCGAAGGTCTTGGCCAAGGGCGGCGTAGACGAATATGTTCGGGTCTTCGGCAAGAAGCCGCGCTAGGAGTGCATGATGCTCGCTGACAAGGACCGCATTTTCACCAACATTTACGGCCTGCGCGACAAGTCGCTCAAGGGCGCGATGAGCCGTGGACACTGGGACGGCACCAGGGCGCTGATCGACAAGGGCCGCGACTGGGTGATTTCCGAGATGAAGGCTTCGGGCCTGCGCGGCCGCGGCGGCGCCGGTTTCCCGACCGGGCTCAAATGGTCGTTCATGCCCAAGGAAGTGGGCGAACGGCCGCATTACCTTGTCGTCAATGCCGACGAATCCGAGCCCGGCACCTGCAAGGACCGCGAAATCCTGCGCCACGATCCGCACACGCTGATCGAGGGTTGTGTGATCGCCGGTTTCGCCATGAATGCCCATGTCGCCTACATCTATGTGCGCGGCGAGTTCATGCGCGAGCGCGAGGCGCTGCAGGCGGCCATCGACGAGTGCTACGAGGCCGGCCTTCTGGGCAGGAACAACAAGTGCGGCTGGGACATGGACGTCTACGTCCATCATGGCGCCGGCGCCTATATTTGCGGTGAGGAAACCGCGCTTCTCGAGAGCCTCGAAGGCAAGAAGGGCCAGCCGCGCCTGAAGCCGCCGTTCCCGGCCAATGTCGGCCTCTATGGCTGCCCAACCACGGTCAACAATGTGGAATCGATCGCCGTCGCGCCGACCATTTTGCGGCGCGGTGCCGGCTGGTTCGCCGGGCTTGGCAAGGAAAACAACACCGGCACGAAGCTGTTCTGCATCTCCGGCCACATCAACGCGCCGTGCACGGTCGAAGAGGAAATGTCGATCCCGTTCCGCGAACTGATCGACCGCCATTGCGGCGGCGTTCGCGGCGGGTGGGACAATCTGCTGGCCGTCATTCCCGGTGGCTCGTCGGTGCCGCTGGTCCCGGCCGAGCAGATCATCGATGCGCCGATGGATTTCGACTCGCTTCGCGGGCTGCAATCGGGTCTCGGCACGGCGGCCGTGATTGTGATGGACAAGTCGACCGACATCGTCAAAGCGATCGCGCGGCTCTCCTACTTCTACAAGCACGAGAGCTGCGGCCAGTGCACGCCCTGCCGCGAGGGTACCGGCTGGATGTGGCGGGTGATGGAGCGCATGGTGGTCGGCAACGCCCACAAGCGCGAGATCGACATGCTGCTGGATGTCACCAAGCAGGTGGAAGGCCACACGATTTGCGCGCTGGGTGACGCTGCGGCCTGGCCGATTCAGGGGCTGATCCGGCACTTCAGGCCCGAGATCGAGCGGCGGATCGACGAGTTTTCCCACAATTCGCACCAGACCAGACCGGTTCTGGAGGCGGCGGAGTAGCTTTTTTCCGCGATTTATGCTGCAATGCAACAAATGAGGCCGGACACGCGCCTAATGTCGTGCTGACAGGGCCGCGTGTTTCAGCATAGAAGACGACAATGAGACCGGAACCGGTCCGGCCGTGCGGCGCTTTTGCGGCGACGCGGCAAGAGGAAACACCACGGAACGGCGGACGCAAGCGACTTTGAGGAGAAAACCGATGTCGATGTTTCCGTTCGCAGAGAACATGATCAGCCCGCAGGCGAAGGAAAACCCGTTTCTGGCGCTGATGCCGGGCATGGAGCCGCTGCAGAAGACCACCGAGAGCTTCATGAAAGGTATGGGTGTGCCCAATATGCCCAAGCTTCCGCCCATGACGTTCTCGCCGATGATGGCGGACGCTGACGCGATCGAAGCCAACATCGAAACGATGATGAAGGCCGTCCCCGGCTTTGAAGGCATGCCCAATCTGGCCACCCACCCGATGGCGGCCATGGCGGCGGGTGCGGCCGTCTCGATGGGCGCGACCAGCCAGATGATGGGCACCATGTTCGGCGCAATGACCGGCATGATGGACAATGCCGTGCGGATGCAGAAGGCAACGCGCGACATCTCGCCCTTCGCGCCGCCGGCGCTCGACGGCGTCAACCCGCTGAAATTCGAATGGGCCTTCGGCACGGGTGAAGCGACCGCCGAAGCCAAGGCGCCGGCTGCCAAGACCGCGGCCACGCCGGCGCCGAAGCGCAAGGCCGAGACGGCCGTCAAGACGGCGGTTGCCGCCAAGGCGAAACCGGCCGCCAAAGCCGCGCCCAAGTCCGGCGTGAAGGCCGACGCAACGGCCGCCCCCAAGCCGGTCAAGGCACCCAAGGTGAAGGCCGCCGCGCCGGCGCCCGCGGCCGCGCCCAAGGCGTCCGCCAAGAAAGCCAACGGCACCGCCGAGGCCAAGGCTGCCGAGACATCGGTCGTCCGGCTGGTGCCGTCCGCCGAGCCGGTGGCGTCCGTGCCCGCACGCCCGGGCGGACCCGCATCGGCGGCTGACATCATGCCCGAGGACTTCAAGCAGCCCTCCAAGGCGGAAAAGCCGGCCAAACCGGACGACCTGAAGATGATTGCCGGCGTCGGCCCCAAGCTTGAATCGGTGCTCAACGGCCTTGGCATCTGGACCTTCGGGCAGATCGCCGAGTGGACCGCCAACGAAGTCGCCTGGGTGGATGACTATCTGCAGTTCAAGGGCCGTATCGAACGTGACGACTGGATCGCGCAGGCTGCCGCGCTCGCCAAGGGCGGCCGCGACGAATATGTCAAAAAGTTCGGCAAGGAGCCGCGCTGAGACGGACCCATCGGCCCGGGCGCCCAGGCGTCCGGGCCGGCCCATTGACCGGCCCGCGACAGAAGGCCGGCAGGACACGGAGGAAGGCTCGTGCTTCTGGCCGAGGCCAACATTGCCCGCGCGAAGCATCCGCTCGACGACCCGGCCATGGCCGGCTTCGTGCAACGCCTTGATGCGGTCAACGCGGTTGCCGACCGGTCGCCCGGTTTCGTCTGGCGCTTCCAGGGCGCCGATCTTGCCGCGCTCGGCAGACGCCTGTTCGGCAATCCACGCGTCATCCTGAACCTGAGCGTCTGGCAAACGCCGGCCGACCTCGAACATTATGTGTGGAACACCGTCCACAAGCAGGTCTATCGCCGCAAGGCCGAATGGTTTGATGCGATCGCATCACACCATTTTGCCATGTGGTGGGTGGAGGATGGGCATCGACCTTCGCCTCTGGAGGCGCGCGAACGGCTTGACCATTTGGCCCGGCACGGCAATACGGACCATGCGTTCGACTGGGCGCATCTGCCGCACGGCAAGCTGTGGCAAGACCAGCGCTGCGCGTGAGACAAACGACGGATATGACGGAAAGCTTCCATGGCCCTGATCAAGGTTGACGGCAAGGAAATCGAGGTCCCGGACCACTACACGCTGTTGCAGGCGTGCGAGGAGGCGGGCGCCGAGATTCCGCGCTTTTGCTATCATGAGCGCCTGTCGATCGCCGGCAATTGCCGCATGTGCCTGGTCGAGGTGAAAGGCGGTCCGCCCAAGCCTGCCGCGTCGTGCGCCATGGGCGTTCGCGACCTGCGCCCCGGACCCGAAGGCCAGCCGCCGGAGGTGTTCACCAACACACCGATGGTCAAGAAGGCCCGCGAAGGCGTGATGGAGTTCCTGCTGATCAACCATCCGCTCGACTGCCCGATCTGCGACCAGGGCGGCGAGTGCGATCTGCAGGATCAGGCGATGGCCTATGGCATCGATTCCTCGCGCTTCCAGGAGAACAAGCGCGCCGTCGAGGACAAATATATCGGCCCGCTCGTCAAGACGATCATGACGCGCTGCATCCACTGCACGCGTTGTGTCCGCTTCACCACCGAAGTGGCCGGCATTTCCGAACTCGGCCTGATCGGCCGTGGCGAGGATGCCGAGATCACCACCTATCTCGAACAGGCCATGACGAGCGAATTGCAGGGCAATGTGATCGATCTGTGCCCGGTCGGCGCGCTGACATCGCGCCCCTATGCGTTCCAGGCCCGTCCGTGGGAACTGACCAAGACCGAGTCGGTCGATGTCATGGACGCGGTCGGCTCGGCCATCCGCGTCGATACGCGCGGCAAGGAAGTCAAGCGCATCATGCCGCGCGTCAACGAAGCGGTGAACGAGGAGTGGATCTCCGACAAGACGCGCTTCATCTGGGACGGGCTGCGCACCCAGCGTCTCGACCGCCCCTATGTGCGCGGCACTGACGGCAAGCTCAAGCCGGCCTCGTGGAGCGAGGCGTTCGGCGCGGTCAAGACGGCGCTTGACGGCAAGTCCGGCGAAGCGGTCGGCGCCATCGCTGGCGATCTGGCCGGTGTCGAGGAGATGTTCGCGCTCAAGACGCTGATGGAGAGCCTTGGTTCGGCCAACATCGATTGCCGCCAGGACGGTGCCGCACTCGATCCCGCGCGCGGCCGCGCCTCCTACATCTTCAACGCGACCATCGACGGCATCGAGGATGCCGACGCGATCCTGATCGTCGGCGCCAATCCGCGATTTGAAGCGTCGGTGCTCAACGCCCGCATCCGCAAGGCCTGGCGGGCCGCGCCGATCCCGATCGGCGTGATCGGCGACATGGGCGACTTGCGTTACGACCATGAGTCGCTGGGCGCGGGTCCCGAAACGCTCAAGGATCTGGCCGACGGCAACCACAAATTCGCCTCCAGGCTGAAAAAGGCCAAACGCCCGCTGATCATCGTCGGGCAGGGCGCGATCGCGCGCGGCGATGGCGCTGCCATACTCGGACTGGCGGCCAGGCTGGCCGATCAGGTCGGCGCCGTTTCCGAAGACTGGAACGGCTTTTCGGTGTTGCACACGGCGGCGGCACGTGTCGGCGGGCTCGATCTGGGCTTCGTACCGGGCGAGGGCGGGCTCGACGCGGCCAGGATGGTCACCGACACCGATGTCCTGTTCCTGCTCGGCGCGGACGAACTCGATCTGCGCAAACGCAAAGACGGCGCGACCACCATCTACATCGGCACCCACGGCGACGTCGGCGCACACCATGCCGACATCATCCTGCCGGCTGCCGCCTACACGGAAAAATCGGCCATCTATGTGAACACGGAAGGCCGCGTGCAGGCCACCAACCGCGCCGGGTTCGCGCCGGGCGACGCGCGCGAGGACTGGGCAATCCTGCGCGCCCTGTCCGATGTGCTTGGCCACAGGCTGCCGTTCGATTCGCTTGGCCAGCTGCGCGCCAAGCTTTTCGAGGCGCACCCGCATTTCGCCGATGTCGGCGCCATCGAACCGGGCCTTGCGTCCGATGTTCAGGCCTTGGCCAAAAAGGGTGGGCGCCTTGGCAAATCGGCGTTTGCATCGCCGGTCAAAGACTTCTATCTGACCAACCCGATAGCGCGCGCATCGGCAGTCATGGCCGAATGCTCCTCACTGGCGCGCAAGGGTTTTGCGGAAGCTGCGGAATGAGCGGTGTGACAGCCATGATGGAACGGACCACCGGCCATGTTTGAGACCTACGTGCTTCCCGGCATCCTGATCCTTGTCCATTCGCTGGCGCTGCTGGTGGTGCTGCTCGTTTTCACCGCCTTCATCCTCTATGCCGACCGGAAGATCTGGGCGGCCGTGATGTCGCGCCGCGGCCCCAACGTGGTCGGCCCGTTCGGCCTTCTGCAGTCGTTTGCCGATCTTCTGAAGTTCGTGATCAAGGAACCGATCATCCCGTCGGGCGCCAACAAGGGCATCTTCCTGCTCGCGCCCCTGGTCTCCGCGGTTCTGGCGCTTGCCGCATGGGCGGTGATCCCGGTTCAGCAGGGCTGGGCGGTTGCCAACATCAATGTCGGTATCCTGTTCGTCTTCGCCGTCTCGGCGCTCGAGGTCTACGGCGTGATCATGGCCGGCTGGGCTTCGAACTCAAAATATCCTTTCCTCGGCGCCCTGCGCTCGGCCGCGCAGATGGTGTCCTATGAAGTCTCCATCGGATTCGTCATCGTCACCGTTCTGCTGCTGGTCGGCTCGCTCAACATGACCGACATCGTCCTGTCGCAGCAGGATGGACTTGGCACACGTCTCGGCCTGCCCAACACCTTGCTGGACTGGCACTGGTTGGGCCTGTTCCCGATGTTTGTCATCTTCTTCATCTCGGCGCTGGCCGAGACGAACCGTCCGCCGTTCGATCTTGTCGAGGCCGAATCCGAACTCGTCGCCGGCCACATGATCGAGTACTCCTCGACGCCCTACATGCTTTTCATGCTCGGCGAATACATCGCCATCCTTCTGATGTGCGCGCTGACGGTGATCCTGTTCATGGGCGGATGGCTGCCGCCGTTCGATTTCGCGCCGTTCACATGGCTGCCGGGCGTCTTCTGGTTCATGTTCAAGCTGTGCCTGGTGTTCTTCATGTTCGCCATGGTCAAGACGATCGTGCCGCGTTACCGCTACGACCAGCTCATGCGTCTTGGCTGGAAGGTGTTCCTGCCGATCTCGCTGTTCATGGTGGTGGCCACCGCCGCCTTCCTGAAGCTGACGGGCTGGGCATAAGAAGGGAAGAGAGCAGATGAGCACATTCGCACAAGCCGCCAAGTCGCTGCTTCTGGCCGAATTCGTCAGCGCCTTCTTCCTGGCGATGCGCCGGTTCGTGGCGCCCAAGGCGACGATCAACTACCCGCACGAGAAGGGCAAGCTGAGCCCGCGCTTCCGTGGCGAACATGCGCTGCGCCGCTATCCCAATGGCGAAGAGCGCTGCATCGCCTGCAAACTGTGCGAGGCGATCTGCCCGGCGCAGGCCATCACGATCGAAGCCGGACCGCGCCGCAATGACGGCACGCGGCGCACGGTGCGCTACGACATCGACATGGTCAAATGCATCTATTGCGGCTTCTGCCAGGAAGCCTGCCCCGTCGACGCCATCGTCGAGGGACTCAATTTCGAGTTCGCCACGGAAACCCGTGAGGAACTCTATTACGACAAGGACAAACTGCTGGCCAACGGGGACCGGTGGGAACGCGAGATCGCCCGCAACATGGCGCTCGACGCTCCCTACCGCTAGCCGGCCGGCACAACGACAACAACAGGGCCAACGCGTTCAACCAAATGCGTCTGGCCCCGATAGGCCGGGACTGCTAGAGGGCAGCCGGCAGACCATCGATCGGGGGAACACATGCTGTTGACCGGCATCGCAGCGGCGTTCTTTTACATGTTTGCATTCATTGCAGTCGCCAGCTCCATCATGGTGGTGGTGGCGCGCAATCCCGTGCATTCGGTCCTCTATCTGATCCTCACCTTTTTCAACGCGTCTGCGCTGTTCGTGCTGACCGGCGCCGAGTTCCTCGGCATGATCCTTCTGGCCGTCTATGTCGGCGCGGTCGCGGTCCTCTTCCTGTTCGTCGTCATGATGCTGGAAGTGAACCGCGTGACGTTCAGGAAGGGCATCGCCGAATATGCGCCCATCGGCGTTCTGGTCGGCGTCGTCATCGCAGCCCAGCTTCTGATCGTCGTCGTCGGCCAGTCTCTGGCGATCGAGCCTTCGGGCACGCCCGCCCTGCCAACACCCGATCCGGCAGCGCGGCCCAACACGGCGGCGCTCGGCGACATCCTCTATACGGACTATGTCTATTTCTTCCAGATCGCGGGGCTCGTGCTTCTGGTCGCCATGATCGGCGCCATCGTGCTGACGCTGCGCGACCCCCGGCCGCACATCAAGCGCCAGAACATTGGCGAGCAGGTCGCCCGCGACCCCGAAAAGGCGGTCGAGCTTGTCGACGTCGAAAGCGGCAAGGGACTTTGAGACCGATCACATGACCATCACCATTGCCCATTATCTGACCGTCTCGGCGCTGATGTTCGTCATCGGCATCTTCGGCATCTTTTTGAACCGCAAGTCCGTCATCGTCATCCTGATGAGCGTCGAGCTGATCCTTCTGGCGGTGAACATCAATTTCGTCGCCTTCTCGGCGCATCTGCAGGATCTGGTCGGCCAGGTCTTCGCGCTGTTCGTCCTGACCGTCGCGGCTGCCGAAGCGGCCATCGGTCTCGCCATACTGGTCGTCTTCTTCCGAAATCGCGGCTCGATCGCCGTCGAAGACGTCAACATGATGAAGGGCTGATCGCACCCATGTATCACGCCATCGTCTTCCTGCCGCTTCTGGGCGCGCTGATTGCCGGCTTCGGCGGCCGCGCGCTGGGCGCCAAGGCCTGCGAATACATCACCTCCGGCTTCCTGGTGATTGCCGCGATCCTGTCCTGGATTGCGCTGATCACGGTCGGCTTTTCGGAGGCCGAGCCGCGCACCGTTCAGGTGATGCGTTTCATCGGGTCGGGCAATCTGGACGTCAACTGGGCCTTCCGCATCGACACGCTGACGGTCGTCATGCTGGTCGTCGTCAACACGGTCTCGTCGCTGGTGCACATCTATTCGATCGGCTACATGCACGACGATCCGCACCGGCCGCGCTTCTTCGCCTATCTGTCGCTGTTCACCTTCGCCATGCTGATGCTGGTGACGGCCGACAATCTGGTCCAGATGTTCTTCGGCTGGGAGGGCGTCGGTCTCGCCTCCTATCTGCTGATCGGCTTCTGGTACAAGAAGGCATCCGCCAACAACGCGGCCATGAAGGCCTTCATCGTTAACAGGGTGGGGGACTTCGGCTTCATCCTGGGCATCTTCGGCGTTTTCGTGTTGTTCGGCTCGGTCAATCTTGACACGATCTTTGCCAATGCCGCCGCCTTCGCGTCCGTCGATGGCGAGGCGTCCGAAGCCGCCCGCGAAGTGCTGTTCCGCTTCCTGTGGATGGACCTGACCGCCGGCGAGGCGCTGACCGTGGTCTGCCTGCTCCTGTTCCTGGGCGCGATGGGCAAGTCCGCCCAGTTCATGCTGCACACCTGGCTGCCCGACGCGATGGAGGGCCCGACGCCCGTCTCCGCGCTTATCCATGCCGCCACAATGGTCACGGCCGGTGTCTTCATGGTCGCACGCCTGTCGCCGATCTTCGAATTCTCGCCCGACGCGCTGACCGTCGTCACCATCGTCGGCGCGATCACGGCCTTCTTCGCGGCAACCGTCGGTCTCGTTCAGAACGATATCAAGCGCGTCATCGCCTATTCGACCTGTTCGCAGCTTGGCTACATGTTCGTCGCGCTGGGCGTCGGCGCCTATGGCGCGGCGATGTTCCACCTGTTCACCCACGCCTTCTTCAAGGCGCTCCTGTTCCTGGGCGCCGGCTCGGTGATCCATGCGGTCTCCGACGAGCAGGACATGCGCAAGATGGGTGGCCTTCGGAAGCATATTCCGATGACCTACTGGATGATGATCATCGGCACGATCGCGCTGACCGGCGTCGGCATTCCGGGCACCTACATCGGCACCGCGGGCTTCTTTTCGAAGGACGCCATCATCGAGAGCGCGTTTGTCGGCCACAATGCGGCGGCGGGCTTTGCCTTCGGCATGCTGCTGATTGCTGCGGTCATGACCTCGTTCTACTCGTGGCGGCTGATCTTCATGACCTTCCACGGCAAGCCGCGCGCCACCGCCGATGTCATGCACCATGTCCATGAATCGCCGCCGGTGATGCTGGTGCCGCTCTACATCCTCGCCGTCGGCGCGCTGCTGTCGGGCTTTTTCTTCTATTCGGCCTTTGTCGGCCACGGCCATCATGAGGGCTGGTACAACGACTTCTTCCGCACCGCTTTGTTCGCCGGTCCGGACAATCACATTCTCGAAGAGTTCCACGAGGTGGCGTTCTGGGTGAAGGCGAGCCCGGCGGTGGCCATGCTGATCGGCCTCGTCACGGCCTGGTACATGTATATCCGCTCGCCGGAAACACCGGCGGCTCTGGCCCGCCAGCATCGCGGCCTTTACCAGTTCCTGCTCAACAAATGGTACTTTGACGAACTCTACGACTTCCTGTTTGTCAATCCGGCCAAGCGCCTGGGCACCTTCCTGTGGAAACGCGGCGATGGCTGGCTGATCGACGGTTTCGGACCCAACGGCGTCGCCAAACGCGTCACCGATGTGACCGGCCGCGTGGTCCGCCTGCAGTCGGGATATCTCTACCACTACGCCTTTGCGATGATGATCGGCCTGGCCGCGCTCATCACCTGGATGATGCTCGGAGGAGCCCTGTGATGGCCGGCATGCCGCTGCTTTCGCTCGTCACCTTCCTGCCGCTGGTCGGTGTCCTCGTCATCTTCTTCATCTCCGACGAGACGGAGCTTGGCCTGCGCAACATTCGCATGGTCGCGCTGCTGACGACGGTCTTCACCTTCCTGGTCTCGCTCCTGATCTGGGCCGGATTCGACACGTCCAATCCCGGCTTCCAGTTCGTCGAGGAGGCCGCATGGCTCGGCGGCGGCTTGACCTACCGGATGGGCGTCGACGGCATCTCCATGCTGTTCGTCATCCTGACGACCTTCCTGATGCCGATCTGCATCCTGGCGAGCTGGGACGCGATCAAGGACCGCGTGAAGGCCTACATGCTGGCCTTCCTGATCCTTGAAACGCTGATGATCGGCGTCTTCTGCGCGCTCGACATCGTCCTGTTCTACGTCTTCTTCGAAGGCGGCCTGATCCCGATGTTCATCATCATCGGCGTGTGGGGCGGAAAGCGGCGGGTCTACGCCTCGTTCAAGTTCTTTCTCTACACGCTGCTCGGCTCGGTGCTGATGCTGCTGGCGATCATGGCGATGTACTGGGAGGCCGGCACGACATCGATCCCCGAGCTTCTGGCCCACGATTTCCCGCCGCAAATGCAGTTCTGGCTGTGGCTGGCCTTCTTCGCCTCCTTTGCGGTCAAGATGCCGATGTGGCCGGTGCACACCTGGCTGCCCGACGCCCACGTCGAGGCGCCGACGGCGGGCTCGGTCATCCTGGCGGGTGTTCTTCTGAAGCTCGGCGGCTACGGCTTCATCCGCTTCTCGCTCGCCATGTTCCCGCTCGCCTCGGCCGATCTGGCCTGGCTTGTCTTCGCTCTTTCGGTCATCGCCATCATCTACACCTCGCTGGTCGCGATGATGCAGCAGGACATGAAGAAGCTGATCGCCTATTCGTCGGTCGCTCATATGGGCTTTGTCACAATGGGCATCTTCGCCGCCAATGTGCAGGGCGTCGAAGGCGCGATCTTCCAGATGCTGTCGCACGGCCTTGTCTCCGGCGCGCTATTCCTGTGCGTCGGCATCGTCTACGACCGGCTGCACACGCGCGAAATCGCCGCCTATGGCGGGCTAGTGCACAACATGCCGGCCTACGCGGTCACCTTCATGGTCTTCACCATGGCCAATGTCGGCCTGCCGGGAACGTCCGGCTTTGTCGGCGAATTCCTCACCCTGATGGGCCTGTTCCGGGTCAATACATGGTTCGCGGTCTTTGCGGCCACCGGCGTGATCCTGTCGGCCGGCTATGCGCTGTGGCTCTATCGCCGCGTCATCTTCGGTGCGCTGGAAAAGGAAACGCTCAAATCGCTGCTCGACCTGACGACGCGCGAAAAGGTGCTGCTCTATCCGCTCGTCGTCCTGACCATCTTCTTCGGCGTCTATCCCGCGCCCGT